CTGCTGATTATTCTTTTACTGTGAAGTTTTCTACCTCCAGTATCTTTTAACTCTAGGATAGATTCACGTTAGTGATATATTCTCCTTTTCATTATATCCCTTAGAGAGTGATTAGCTCAGCATTTGCAAATCTGTCAGCATCATGTTTTACCCTGGAGCCCAGTAATTAATAAATGATAGGACAAAATACTTTCAGCTGGCATAGAGATGTGAAACCAAGGCTTAAAATATGTTGTCTCTCTGCTGGACCTATAGAAAATGGTACAGTTGGAGCAGCTCAGCATACCTCAAACTTGGTTCAAAGTTGGCATCTCTAATATCAGTCACCATGAGCAGTAGTTGTGTCTGAGTAAGACCTGATTTACAAAAATCAGTGTTGGAGTGCTGCTGCTTTTCTTTTGTGCACTTGAGATATCTCCTCCATGGCACAGCAAAAATTAGAACTGCATGAGAAATATACACAGAACAAAAGCAACTGTGACCAATTAATCATTTTGTGTCTGCTTGCTTGCACGTTATGAGATTAATTATTACTATCGTTATTATTTTAACAGAGGTTCAGCTGCAGCTTCTCTCTTGAGAAACAGATTTGTTGTAAAAAATAAATCTTGCAGAGAGCCTCAGATATTTGACTGCCATTTCCATCATTCCCCACTTGCAAATACCTCCTCTTCCCATATTACTGATGGGAACAAGTTAAAGTATCTCAGTCAGAGCTGGTACTTCATCAGGAGATGTAGGAATTGTTACATTCCTACATGCAACACGTAAGAAAGAAATGTGTGCTTTACCTATGCTGTGTATTATTATTTTTATTATTTACTGATATTGGTTGCAAGTTGTGAAGTGTATTTTGTCACTGCATTGACCCACCATGTTGTTGCTTCAAAGAAAATCCCTTACTTCTCAAATTCTACTTGCATGCACTCAAGGAAGCAAAGCAAGAAACTCTCTGAGCTGAGGGAAGAGGAAGAGGACACTGGATAGGGTGCAATACTGTCTCCAAATAGGGTGCCAGGCAGTAAGGTTGAGTTATGGATGTTATTTCACGTCATATCTCCCATTGCTATGTGCAGTACCATTGTCTTTTGCCATAGTCCTGAAATAATACTCATCATTTTTCTCCAGGCTTGCTTGCTCTTTTCTTTTCCTGAATGTTTGGTATTGCTCTGTCTCTGCTATGAGCATGTATTTCGAGCTTTCCTTTCTCTTTTTTGATACGCATTTTTGCACGTCAGTCATGTGGCCCTTCCTACCAGCAACTAATTCTGAATAAAATTTTGTAGTATGCACGCCACAACTAACCACTTCAGTCTGATGCTTCGCGTTGTCATCTTCATCTCTGAAGTACAGTGTGAATTAGTGACATGTCTGGAGCGATAGGTATTTCAGTTGTTGGGCAGAGCAATGAACCTAAAAACCTATTTTAAAAAATAATAGCCTAAAGCAGCATTATGAAAATTACTGTATAAATGTTTATCAGATTTAGATCTGCTATTACCATGCCTCCCGTTCATTTTGTGACTAACACTGTAAATTCCTGCTTAGAAAAAGGTTCCTCTTTTGATACCATCTTGCATTTTCCCTTTGTAGACACTATGTAAACATTTTTTATATTGAAAAGGGGGCACTTGTTTGTCTGATACTGCCATTTGAAGCATGTGCCAGTGTACTTCAACTGAAATGCTTTCCACTTGCAGTGTATTTCTCATTGATTTATATTAACTAAATGAAGTTGTCATGTTAATAATAGGTTGCTGGACAATTTTAGACCACCTTTAGTGCTTTGATTCTTTCCTGATGGAGCTCCCAGAATGGAAAGGCGCATTGCCTGGACATGGTTGTCATGGTTGCCTTTTGTTTCGGTCTCTCTAATTTTCAGAAATGATCTTACATTATTCCTTGGGAGGACCAGATAATATTTTAGGCATCATGGCATAAATAAGGGATGTAAAGCTTGTAAGGGGACAGAGTGTCTTTTATCAGCTGCTTCAGTTGGTAAAAGTGGACAAGCTTTCAGATGCGTAGACCTTCCATAACTTCGACGTACAGTGCATTTTTATGTGAGAAAAAAACCTTGTTCTTCTCTGACTGATAATTTCTGAATATTTGCATTATAAAATAGGATAGTGCAATTACTTTGTGTATAAAAATTGTCTATATCTAGTATACCTTATCAGCACATAATATATATGTGTAAATGTTTCATGTTAATGTGCAAAAGGAATTGCAATAAATTATTTTTTTCCACTGACTTACAGAAATGTTGGCATTTTCTTTTTGCTGAAAGCTGTATTTCATTGTTTGATACAAACCAAGTATGTTCTCCATTCTGTAACTCAAAGTCCAAGTTTAAATAATCTATTGAGTCATTTTTCCAATATTTGCAAGGGTCCAAGAGTCTCCCACGTTCAGGTGAATGGATTACATCCTCACATTAAAGTGGCGGTCAAAATGTGTAGATTAATGCTCCAAAAATAGTAGACTGGTCACAAAAATGCATACATCCCTCTGAAACACTTGGACGATACTTAACAACCAGAAATTATTAGTGGTCCACTTTGGGTAGGATGTGTGTTACCAATCAAAGCTTTAGGACTGGGAAATTAAGAGAGGAAGCCACATCCATTCCTTTCCATCACCTCACCATGGGACAGCAGCGCATCCCGGCACTCCGTGAGAGATTGCCCTTCCTCTAACAGATGATACACAACAGCAATTTGCACTAAAAGTTCATCAAGCCTACCAAAACTTCAGTGGTGACTCCTGAAGACGTGGGATTTGTGTTGTGCATTGACGTAATTCACGTAAAAGGACGTGAAATAACTGAAGTTTCTGTATTACGCTTCAAGCTGATGGAAGATGGCATGGCAGAAAATTCAAATAACGCTCTGTGTTTTTATTTTACCATCTCAATCATTTCAAAGTATTAAAGCTCCCATTAAGCTACTCTGTAGCATAACCAGTTTCTTAAAGCACTAGAATAATATCTCATATATTGTACTGGTATAAGTGCTTTTTGTCTCAAGGAAACCAATACGATTTAGGCAGTTAACCTCTTTTATTACTAAAACTGGTCTTCACTTAAATGCTGCATTCAGCTTCTAAAATTATACTTTGGTTAAGTATTACTCTCAGATAACAGTTAAAAACTTCTGCAGGTATTTGGTTCTTTTATGTGTGCTCTGTTGCCTCTTTTATTTAACTAGAGTGATTTACTTTTTCAGTAGCAGCTCTCTAGCTGAAACATGAGGCAAAGTCTATTTCAAAGGAGTTTACAAGTGCATGCTTTATTTTAGTATTTTTTTTTTGGTTAAAAAGTTGAAAGAAGGAGAAGAAAGGGGAAAGCAGCAATGAAACTGCAAATTATGCAGTGGTTAGCTGTTTGTAATCTTCTGAGTCATTTGCTTCCCTTTGAATTCAGATATGCAAAAGAATTTGGGTTGCTGTGGTGTTATGAACTAAGGCTGTGGCCGTGCAGGGGATGCTGCTACTCTACTGCTATCGTAATGTTGCCGCTGCGGTTGACTTCCACAGTGCAAGGCTGAGTAGTCTGATGGTTGCTAGTGTTCCTTGGATAATACACATTTGGATAATATATTTGGATTTTTTTTTCCCAATACAGGGCTTGAAAAGCAGCAGAAGGACTCTCACTGGCTTCAGAAAATTTTCAAGCAAGCTTATTAAGCTCATACTGTCAATCCTCAGTTACATTATAAAGACTTCCACAACCAGTGAGGCCATTTGATAATATAACCCGTATTTTCAGATGGTGGTCTTTTCATTGACCTTCTCCATGTGAAATTCTATCAAAACTTGATATGTGTAAGAGCTGGGTGGAGCTTGAGGCACCAGAACCTCTTTGAACAAAACTCTAGTAAAAACTAAAGCTAAGAAGCATTTGAGTGTGCTGCAGCCAGGCTGTGCACTGCAATGTGCACTCTTGGACTGTGAAACTGTGATAATCCAGTCCTGAGGCTTCTGTGTCCTAACGTGTTTTTCATTCACCAAGCAGTCAGGTCAGCACTATACGTATATTGTCACAAACTGTAAAATGGTTACTCAGTGCATTTCCAGAGCCAAAAAATGTTGGGTCATTACATTCTTGCAGTATGGGAACTTGAAGAGGATTTGGTACTCATCTCCACAGTCATCAGACAGTCAGCATAGTGGTACTGTTGGCTTATCATCTGCAAGTACAGGGATGTTATTGGACTTTTAGTCCAGCTTTATTTGAGTGCCAGGGACACACAGAGGGTCTGTGTCATTATTTTTCAATGAACAAAATTATTTCTTTCCTGGGGAAGAGTCTGAAACTGTTGTCATTTCATGCACCTGCCTGTCAATGAGAGAAGAGGACGAGGCAGTAAACAGAGCCTTGCCGATCTAACTGTCAAGAAAAAAAAAAAGAAGAGGTTAAATTCCCCAATTTATAGCTGCACATACAAGGCACTGGTTTTTTTCTCTAATGTTCTTCAGATTTCTGGCTGGCTTTGGGTGACAACTGTGGAAAAGCTGCAGCAACATGTGCTGTCTACACCAAGTCACTCTCTGTTTGTTATTAGCAGGAAAAGGCTACTGCTCATTGTCATCATAATGGTCAATGGGTCTTTCTGCCAATGTGACTGTTTTGGAAATCACAACAACCAGGGAACGTAAGAACAATTTTGTGATTATTATTCTGGGATGAAGGCTTTGTTCCAGACTATTCCACTTACCCAGCCGTCAGATTGACATTGCCTTTGTTATTAGGTGTTTTTTTGCAGAGATGATTATTGAGATTCCAATATATATGAAGCACCTGGTACAAACCTTATGCTACAGTACAGTTCTTCTCTCAAGGGAAGTGATTTTGTGTGATGAGGGTCTCTGGACTCGCAGCACTCAGCCAATGCTGGCACACATTTGTTTTTATCTGTTCATGTGCTGGATGCCTCTGGCATGAAGCCTGCGTGGTTTTTTTATGTGGCAGGTTCTCAGGGTCATTCCAGCCTTCCAAAACTGATTTTACACTTTGATAAGTGTGGTGTCCTGTCTAGTGCTCAAACAACTACCTTGTGATTAAAATGACAGAACTTAGCAGAGTGCAGACAAAGGACTGAAAGCGTTCACAGCTCCTGGCTGGTGTTAATCACAACCCTGAACTGGAGACCAATTAAGTCAACAGTCCTTGAGCCTTTATTTAAAAATAAAAACAAAAAAAACCAACCCCACACTAAAACTACATAGTCATAGTTTTCAGATGAAAAATAAAACTGCTGGAGGTCGGTATTGCTGGTTTCAGCCCCTGTGTCAATATGAGCATAGCGTTGTAATGAACTGTGTGAAAAATCAAACCACCTTCATAAATCTCACTGAACTATGCAATGCACTAAGTGTGAAGAAATGCACATCTGTTTCCCACAAGTCCGTAAGGTTCCTGGAAAGAAAAGGAAGCAGGTTATGTCCTGTTATTTTCAGTTATTTTGTGCAAGTCAACTTACTAAACTGCAATTTTCATATCCGGAGTGTTCAGAAACAATCTGATTTTCAAAAAAAACTCTATTAGGAGGTAGAAGAGTTAAGTATCCTTTTTCCACAGAGGGCATAGCGAACCATTCAGAGATGTAACCTGTACAAGAAACCAAAACCTTGTCTTCTGTCACATGTATGTGACATGCCTCTTCACAAAGCCTTACTTTCTCACATCATCCTACCACTCAGGTTTTATAATACACATCTATCTGTCTGTCTCTCTGTCTGACACTTCGACTTCTGTGTAGGCCACCTTTTTTTCCTTGCTGCTTGAGCCTGTGTCAAGGGAAAAAGACAATACTCATGAGGCCTATAAAAGAAGTACAGATACTTCAGATAATTCTGATGAAGGCACTTTGGGGTCTGGGTAATTACTCTCTAGTCCTTATACCTGCAGTCCTTTTCTGTTTAACATAAAACGTATGAGCAACATTAGGGGCACAATTACCGGCAGGGAAGGGTACAGCAAGGGATAGGAGGGGAACACCTGAGTTGCAACTAGAATGGGCATAAAGGGTCTCAGGTTGCAAACATTGTTTTCTCATCTGTGTAAATTCAAGGTTTGATGTACCTACATTATTAAACTGGAGATGTCAGTGTTTTCTGAAGATATAATTAATTGTTCTATCATGGAGATGCCAAGAAAAGGTCAACATTTATTTATTAAATACTTGTCCTAGGACAGGTTTTTCCCTTACTCACATTATTGGACACCATTAATTTTCCCGCTGTGGTAAATGTTGACTTGTATTTTTGGTTGGAAAACACAGCACTACAGCTGGGGGCAGTCTCCATTGTCTCCTGCATTCCCAGCTATGTCACATTTTAACTATGATACT